GCTTCTATCATTTAGGAAGTTATCAAAGAAAAAAATGCTTCTGGAATTATTTCCGTCCAGTCTTTTATCAAAAACACAATCACACTGTCTGTCCCCCCGGTACCTTTTGCAAAAATGCAGCAGTAAGCAGAGGTCTTTCAGATAACTCATTTCCCATAGGCTTTGTGAAAGTGACTGTTTAGAGGGGAGATACCCCAGTTGAGGGGTTGGGGGAAAAAAAAAAAAACAAAAAAAAACCCGTGAACTACAAATCTGCACTTGGGACAGACTACTTATATGCCCCAGCTGTGTGAAGCCTCCAACTGGAATACGCATCGTTTCAGACATCAAAATTGAGCATCTGCTAGACATAAAACCAAAGCAAATCACAGTTGATTCATTCCACTGCTCACTGAGCAGCTTGCTTTTCTACAGCTGTATTCACACTGTGACAAAGGTGAGGGCTGAGTATAAGGATTTACAAAAGCATATGTTAACTCACATGCACGTTCTTGTGATTGACATCATTTGGGTTATCTCTTTAAAACCTGTCCAGTCGACGTTGAATATGCTGCATACTAGTATGTTCAGTAGGGGTCAACACAACCTTGAACACTAACTGGGTATTGTTTTTCCACTGCACAGCTCTTCCTCATTAGAGATGAAGTAGCAGTGTTTTGCCAATCTCAAGAACAGAGGAAAACAAGCTGAAGGGAGGGTTTTACTCTTTGGCCCAGGGAAGGGCCATGACGACTTCACCTGAACAGCCTTTTCAAATATAGCGTTGCATGTCCTCGCTTGTGTAGTAGTTTATATCTTGTTTGCATAAGGTGTGTGAATGAGATGCATCTTTCCTGTGAAATAGGAGCATTTCTGAACAGTTATGTAACAAAGGTATTAGTATGCTTGTCTGCATACATAATGCTGAAGGTAAAAGAGAATAGCGTGTGAAACTGGAGGTAATGTGAAAAGCTTAACTCTTCTGTAATTTCAAATTACATTTCTGTGTGTCTTTGGTCAACATTTTTCCACTTTATAAAATGCTGGTTATAAGAAATGCAAATTACCCACCAACAACATGACTATAATTTTGATTATGCTATGCAGCCGTGAGTTCTGCTAAAATTGGGTGAGTAGCAAAAGAATTTGATATCATCTCTGTATACTAGACTGATTCCAAACCACACCTTAGCATATCTGTGAAGTAATCCTTTTTTGACTTCACTGGGTGTGTTAAGCAAATGAGTATCCATGTATAACAATTCATGAGCAGGAGCCCCCTCTCCTTTCCCCCTCCGCAGATTATCTAGGGATTCAGTTCCAGATGAACTCTAACTTGGAACAGTTTGGGTTAAACTGGATGCCCAAATGACTCATTGAAATTGTGTCAATAAATTGGAAGAATATTGTTCGGAAAGGAAGTTAGTGAGTTGAAGGTACAATCTAACATGACCCAGGATGCCAATATCTGTTCCAAGCAAGTAGGTGGTTTCTTTATGGAACACATGTATTTTTGGATAGCACTGAGACATTGCCATAAGGAACTGTAGGAGGATAGCAGATTACAAGCCAAGACCTTAGACAAAGTTAGACGCAGGAAACAAGGAGAAGAAATCATGGGGAGTTTGTACAGGTCCAAAAGCCTCTTCAGAATGCCTCTGAAGTGAGGACCTGGGAAGATCCAGAAGAGAGACAAGTTAATATTTTTGAAAAGATACAGTACTTTATCTCCATTGCTTCCGTGCTCAGAGGTAACAGCTTAGATTTTATGACTATTTTTGTCATGAAATGAACAGAGGCAGTATCCCCTTTTCCTTTTGTTCCACCACTGAGTTCAAGTGTCAGTCCTGTAGCCCTTTGATACCTGACTTGGCTCTTCTCCCAGACAAAGCAGAACTTCTCAGTCTTGTCTGAATTCCCTTCCAGCATGGTTCCTCTTCTGTGCGGGCTAGAAGTCCAAGGCAGGTGGCTGATAGCAGTTGACTGAATTGTCTTAAACCGCTGACAGAAAATGTGTAAAAGTCAAACTAAAAATAAATATACGAAGCACAGTGAAAGCCATGAAAGGTCACAAAATGATGATGAATCACGATTCCCTCCAACACTTCACTGTTAGACACTAAGATTAGGTAATTTATTAGAGAAGGCTGGTAAAGTATTAATTTTTCTCCATTCCTCAAAGATAGTCTCAGGATTTGTTTTTTAATTTATTGCTTTAGTTTGCAGTCTCATAATCAGGTGTTAATAACTTCCCTTTATTCACTAACAAAGGCTTCTGTGGCTTTCCTCTTCCAGGGCATGCAATTTCTTGGTATTTCTTTTGAATCATTTTATCTCTTCAAGAGTTAGGTGTCCTGTCTAAATTCATCATCTAGGCTTCCTCTCTACTAAATGGAAAGAGAGGCACTTCCCACCCGTCTTAGGTTTCTATCTTAAGATGGCCTGAATCATCCATGGGAGGTGCTTCTCTCTTTCCATTAGCGTAGTGTTTGAGTAGAGAAGTAATTTAAACTTGATGTTTAAATTTAGATGGCTAAAGTTAGGAGTGATAAATCCCACCCCTAGAGACTGTGACAGTAGCTTAAATTACATTTTTCCCTCTCGTTTCCAAATGAGGATAGAGCAGTATTTCTAACCGTTGATGGTACACACTTCTCACTGACAATCCTAAAGCGATCTGATGTGAGACTATTTTATAAACATCTGTTGAGAATAGCAAAAGCAAACCACAGTTTTTGGTCCCTGGAAGACTGTACTGGCATTCATGGATAGGAGGGAAATTTGTTATTGATTTTTGGCAACTTCTAGTAACAGAGAAAGATACCTTGAAGTTCACTGGCATTATTTTGTAGCTTGGATCTCTAACAAAATTTAACACATCTGACTGTCGTGTTACAGAAGAGGCAATGTTTTCAAACTCCAGATGCTAAATCTATGCTAGCTTAGCGTTGTAGAAGCATGTGGTTAGTCCTCTGGTTAGAACCTGCTTACTGCTAGCAAGAGTTTTGGAAGATAGCAAACTAGTTATATCAGGAGAACACACCTATGTGTGCGTGTGTATATGTGTGTGTATATATATATATATATGCATAAATACAATATAAATATATATCAAGACTTTGCAGGTTCATATATAGTTGGGAGGAAAGAAAAGGTTATTTTAATTCCATTATTCCTTCCTGATTTCTTTATGTTACTGCTCTTGCCTTGCTATAACATACAAGATGTTCGTAATATAATAAAATCTGTTGATAAATACAGTTTTGCTAAGCAACTTAATTGAATAAATTACCTCATTTTTGCTTAAGTTAATTATGGGAAGGTGAGCCGAATCCATAAGCATGATGTGGTATTGTGTTATCAGTGTTATGCAGCAATACAAACAGACCAGTCTCTAAGTGAATAGCTTTTGTGGTCTCTCAGAAAAGCTGTGGCCAAACATTGTTTCTTTAAGGTACTTATCATTAAATATCTGATAATTATATTAATATCCAGAAGATGTTCAAAATATACCGACTGACACTAGAATTTTCTTTTCTGGTCAGTATTAGGGCAATTTTACATAAAACGGGCATGAGCTGCGAAAGGGGGAAAATGACAATTTTCTCAAAATTCTATGTAATGCTAGTGCTTAGTTTGAGATACAGGCCATTTAATTTTCATTCGTTAAGTTCTGACACTCATACTGAAGTGCACAGGAGCCTCAGTTCTTATCACAGGAAAACTAATTCCTAGGTATGTTTGGTTCCTAATTATCTTTAATTGACTTTGCAGGATTAGGGGTTACTTTTGAAAGCAAGAAAAGAGCTTCACAGGGCTACTGTTTCTCTTGTAGAAGAGAATCCATAAAGGTAGCGCTTTAACAATGTTCAGCAGTATGGCCTTTCAGTCCATCAAAAAGCCTATGCTTGCCACAGGTTTTCCCACTTCTTAAAAAGAAAATAAACAAACAAAAAAAAAGAGAAAAGCTGATGTCTT